CCCCCCCCATACACACAGAGCCAGGGTGGGGGGCAGGCTGGGCGCCCCCCCCCCCCAGCACTGACCCGGCCTCCCCAGCCAGCCCCGGGTCGGTGGGGAAGCAGCTTCCTCCCCAGATACAGAGAGGAAACTGAGGCACAGCTCCAGGGACTTGGCAGCGGTCAGGCAGCCGGTCATTGGCGGAGCCGGGGATAGAAGCCAGGAGTCCTGATGCCCTGCTTTACCTGCCAGGCCACTTCCCCCCGACCCCCGTTCTGCTCACTGAGGAACTGGGGTTGGGGGAGCAGGGTGGGAGGCGGCCCACCTGGGCTGCATCTACCCCAAGGCTTTTCTGCAATTCTCCCACTACTGCTCTTAAACTTGGGCTGGGACGGTCAGCCCCCACCCTGCCATCTCAACCCTATGCAATGCGGTGAACACATCATCACAGGATTGACACGAGCCTGATCATCATTGCTACCAAGGGTGGGAGAACTGCAGAAATTCACTGGTGGAGGGAAGGGCGGAGAGCTGCCTCTGATGTTTTCTTCAAGATTCCCAGCCCTCCTTGGAAAGTCTAATGTTGGGGCAGGAGGTCTGCCCCCTAAGAAGGAAGCCTAGAGGTGAGTTGACAGGTGGAGGCAGTTAGAAAGTGAGGTGAAGGTCTGCCTGGGGGCACACTCCCCCTCCAGGCTCTCACTTACAGCTTTACAGTCAGGAACATTTCCTGGCCTTGCTCTGTAAACTTGTGACACCTCCTCTGCTCCTAAAGGTACCAGGTTCTGCTCAGCATCACCACCTCTGCCATGTAGGGATCAATTCATCTCACACATGTCCTAGAGAGACAGTCAGTCCTTGGTCTATCAGCTTCTTTTCACAAGGTGGCACAAGGACAGATGAAGTGCTGATGGTTGGCCTGGCTCAAACTCCCACTCCGGGGAGAGCAGCAGCTTTGGGCATGCATAATTTATAGAGCCAGGGCTCAGGCAGATGTTTCTCATTACATCATGGTCCAGCTTCCCCACTTTCCCCTGTAAACCACCAGCTCCTAGGGCTCAAGTGAAGAGTATCTTACTGTCATTCTTCCTGGGCATGGGGATGGACCTATACAATTTTGTGGTTTTAAGGTTCTGTCTCACGCTGGGGTCTCTGAGTATCAGTTGAAAGTGGCTGAGAATCTTAGGACTGAAAGTAACTTTCCTTTTTTTTTTAAACTAGACTCTTGTTTAAGTGTTACAAAGAATAAGTTGTGGTTCAGCCAGTCCAAGGGGGGGGGCCGGGCCGGGATTAGTAACTGCTGCACTTGTTTGGGTAGTTCTAAGGGACATCTTGAATCATATAATAGATGTGTGTCCTCACTTACCTCTCTTGCCCCAATCCCCTGAATCGTTTCCATGGGTAGCTGCTGTGAATTTAATGCTCTTCTTTGCATGCTGTTCACTTTTTCCTCCTTTATACGTTTAGTGCAACCAGCTTATTCTACGTTGTATCCTGAAGCGAGACAGAGATGGCCAAAGGCATTCTAGGAGATGCAAGTCTTCACTTTGATGAGCTGAATAAACTACGAATTTTGGACCCTGAGGTTGCACAGCAAACACTTGAACTCAAAGAAGAATGCAAAGCTTTTGTGGACAGTAAGTTCTTTCCTTTTTATTGGTTCTGCCTAGGTCAAGCTCTCAGCAATACTAAACATCAGGTCTAAATACTGCTTTTGCTGCTGGCTGGCCTTTTACCATCTTTAAAAGGAGTCCCTCTAATGACAAAACTGGAACTAGTTACCATTCACAGATGGAATTTTGAAACAAAACCATACATACGTCCCTACCTCGCCTCAATTAATTTTGTCATCAGATTGCTTGAAAAGAGCACCCAATAAAGAGTAAGAGCAGTGGAAAGAAGAAAGGATGCATTCACGGAGTCTAAGCCAAGGGTTTGCTTTTGTTTTTAGAAGTCTTTTTGTTCATTGATAGTGTTAAGCTGTAGCTTAGGTTAGCTTGTTCCTTCTGGCTTTTCACATCAGTTACAGCCGTAACATCAGACGATTGGACTAGATGACCTCTCGAGGTCCCTTCCAAACCTATGATTCTATCAATGCTCTTTAGCAGTAGTTTCCTGTAGAGAAAACCAGACCTGGAGCTGAGTTTCTGCCTGCCAAACTGCTTCCCACAATAAACCCTATATATGAAACACCTGATAATATTGATATTTTCCCCCATACACAACCTTTACACAATTTACAAACGTTTTCTGAAGCTGACAAGTCAGTACAGGCAGTGAGTCTACTGTGCAGACGCTGTTGCGTTGTCTTCTATCACCCAACACAGTCTCATTAACAGGGTGAAAAAACCTATTACAGTTTTAGAGCAACCTTTCTTGTGAATTTTAGTGTCTGACCTGTGCTTATTGGTAATAGGCTAATGAAGGCAGAGAATTTGATACTGAAATGTGCTATTACTGTAACACATTCCTGTCTCCATCACCTATAATAATTTTTCTGATACAGGAAAAGAGGGTTTCTTGGTAGGTGGCTGGTTGAGTTTCTATTTGCAATGATTATTTTTGCTGCTGGGATTTTATGGTATGTTAGGGCACCTATCCTTGTATGGACATCTCTTTTTAAATTTAGATCTGAATCAAGAAGAATATAGGGAAGTCAAACTAAGATTAGATGTCCTAATAGGATACAAGAACTCAACCTCATCAGTGCTTAACGGCCTTTCGTTATATTTTCCTCTTCTCCATCTTAAGTTTAGTAGCAATGAAGAGCTTAAACTAAACGTATGCCTGATACAATCAATTTCAAAATGGTTAAGAATATAAAACATTAAGAAATCCAGGTTAAAAAGCACTCAAATGCTGTAGAAAAAGGTGTGTGTCATTTTGATGAATACTTTTAGCTTAAACGCCACCATTTTTTCCTTTGCAGAAATTGCCGAGTTTCAGAAAATAGTGGGTAGCTTAATAGAACTTGTTGATCAACTAGCAAAAGCAGCTGAAAATGAGAAGATGAAGGTACCGTACATTGAATTATTGGCCCATGAAGTACTGTCCTGTACAATACACAGACAGCCCCTGCCCTACCTACTGTACAATCTAAGCAATCTAGCTATTTATTCAATTGGTATGATACAGATTGTTTTAGGGATCTTTTAGGTGGTAGAGCGGTAACACCTGTCTTTGGATTAACATCATAGTTGTTCGTTACCAAGGGTTTAAAGGACTAATGCTAGCCAGTAGCACACAAACAAGCAAGCTCATTGAAGTGTCATGTCATTCCAGGTGCTTGTTTTTTCCCAGCCCTACAGCTTATCAATTATGTTTGCATGTAAATAGCAGATTCCTTCTTTCTAATCAGTATTTTCCTTCCACCAGTTCATTCAATAGGGCCAAAATTGAGTGCTTGGGACATTAAGCATCAACTCTTGATGTGTCGCAGTGGGCAGTGCTATCACCAAATATACCTGGCAGAAGGAAGCGGTTGATTAGAAAACAAAGAGCTTTTATTTATACACCTCTTGCTAGCTACTTTTGTGAATGTTCTTGCTGATGCACGTGTAGAAATACATGCCACTAAGATCTGTGTTTTATAGGTCAGTCTAGAAACAAGCTTGGACATTTAGTGTGTTTAAAAACAAAAAATCTCCCACAAACTTATTTATATTGGAAAAAGTTCAGAACTAATGGTCAGTTCTGAGCTTACCTGTCCCTTCCTTGCCCCAATCATCCAGTGGTCAAGTAATATTTCTAGACCTGGCTTTGCCTTTGGTCTTGCGCAGGTTACTAACCTGGGTCAGTCAGAGTAGTGAATATTTGAAGGGAAACGCTACGAAGATGTTCTCTTCCTTGAAGTCTAATTATTAAAACTACCTGGAAAGTTGACTGGCTAGAAATGACAGTAGTAAACAAGGATACAGCTCTATTACTAAAACCCAGTCTTGTTTCCATAGGCAATTGGTGCCCGAAACTTGCTGAAGTCTATAGCAAAGCAAAGAGAAGCGCAGCAGCAGCAGCTTCAGGCTTTAATAACCGAGAAGAAAATGCAGTTGGAAAGGTAAGCTAAGCTGTTACATGAAGCCAAGAACGATAGTTTTCCAGGAGTTTGGTTTAGTATTTTGAAAGAATAGATAGTAACAGAACAAACGTGACTAACTTTATTAATATCACTGGTTTTGTGGACTAGAAATTCAGTTCCAGTATTTAAACTCTAAGTACAGGTTGTAACCATTCTCTCTCTCTCTCTCTCTTCCAGATACCGAGTGGAGTACGAGACCCTGTGTAAAATAGAAGCTGACCAGAACGAATTCATTGACCAATTCATTTTTCAGAAATAAAGGATTTAAGACCAACATCCGCTGACTGGGCAAACTTGTACCTTTCCAGTATCCTGAGGATTCTAAAATATGCAGTTTTATATTGTGTACCAGTGAGCAAAGCAGTATGTGTAAAGGCAAAAAAAACCCAAACAGTTTAACACTATGTGAACTTACATTAAAATGGCAAAAAGGAGGGGTTTTCCAGGGATGTGTAAATAAGAAGAGTTCTAACCTGTCTCTTGTTTTTAAAAAAATCTGTATGGGCCCCGTAGTTTGATTTCATTTAATCTTTGACTGGACACTACTGTTATATTACATGGATCCTCCCCACCCTTTTTTTTTTCTTAAGTTTACAATACTTTGGGAAATCAGGAAATAAATTATTCTTTTTAGAAGTTGCTTTATTTTCAGTTTTTTGACCAGAATCAGCTGCTCATGTTATTTAGATAATTAAGAGACTATTTTCCTTAGATTTAACTAGTTCACTGGATTGTCACTTTAATAGTTTACCGAATGCAGCTTTTCATGTCTACACAGACACAAAACACAACATTATTAAGAAGCACCAACAGCCTGTTTTTATTTGGACTGATCAGAAGAGAATTGCCACCCAGTTAAAAAAAAATACACAAGTTTGTGACTAACAGAACCCACAAATGACAATCCAAAATTGGAAAACATACAGCAGAATTCAAGACAGATTATGCCTGAGACTCACAGACTCTCAGCAGTTTCTTGGGAATTTTTAACAGTGACCTAAGCTGCCAATTAATAAGACAGACCATCCTGAAGTCTTTGTGGCATGAGCAGATGTTAACTGTCAACGGATTTAAACAATGAATGTTTAAAGTTAGGTTCCAAAATCCACATTTAGATATCTGAGTATGAATGACCTGATTTCCAGAAGAGCTGAGCACCCACAAATCCCATTAAGGTTAACAGAAATTGCAGGTGGTCAGCACCTGAAATAAAAGTCAGGCTGCTTATAAAGTGCTTATATGTGGAGTTGTACACCTAACTGTAGGCAACATGAAACTGCTGGCCTTTGTAATTTAGACCACGGCACACGGATAAGGATTCCAACATACTTTCAATGACCGAATAGTCCTTGACATCATAAACAATGGATGTTACTGCAATTTAGAGGTTAATGCTCAACCTTTTAGAAGAGATTTGGAACAGAAGACCAGACAGCTTGCCATTCTAGGTCGAACTGGAATGCATTTGTACATTTCATCCCAGGTGCGGCTGCAGCTTCTCTCAACATTTCAAGTGGCTAAAAGGAGGGCGTAGCGCCACTCAGGTTTGGCCCATCTGCCCCTCTGTAGCTGGAAATGAAGGGGTGGGCAGGCAAACCTAAGTTGTGCTTCAATGCCATGCACCAGGTCACACCACCAATAGGTTTGGGGGCCCTCTCGAACAGGGGACCCAGGGCAAACTCCCTCTCCCGAGGCAGTCCTGAACGTGGGAAATGTTCACTTCAACTGAGACGGGCTTAGGGTCAAAGTAGGATAGCCCCACGAAACCCAGGGCTGCTGGGAGGTATGCTGCAGGTCAGAAATGGGTGAAAAGATCCCTGCTCATACACAATTAGGGAAAGACTTTAGGACCCGTTGGGAAGAAAGGTGCTATACAAAAAGCAGACACATATCAAAGTAGGTTACATTTTAGCATTCAGAAATCCACTTCAGAGGCAGGTCTTGAAATATACTCTAGCCCGTGATTCCAGTTCATAATCAAAAATGGAGCTGGGACAAGCAGAATCTTTAAAAAAGGATCATACTGTACTTCCAGATGGTTAGGCAATGGTATATAAGGGGGTGGATGCAGAGGCTTGGATGCAGCCTGGCAGGCGTGTCCAGGCACAAGATCAAAAATATATAATGCAATGGCTAGAGTTTTGGCCCACAAGTTCAGAGTTATGAAATCTTAAGACTTACACAACTACGTGACTTGGCTGCATTAGCAAATATTCAGTAAGACTTAACTTTAATGGGCCAGGTTCTGCCCCCAGCAACACCTAAGCCAATGGGATTGTGCATATGTATCTGGGGCCAGAACCAGACCCTGTTTTTACTTCTAATAAAAATGATACAGAATAACACTTCCTCCCTCACCGCCTCGCTCTACTCCCCAGCTGCTTGTAGTTAATTAAGTCATAACACTGTGCAATTATGCAGCCTCCAGCATGTCTTATTTTTAAACAGACGGGGGATCCACGGTTTCTCACACAGGTGTATTTACCATGGTCTTTTTGGAAGGAGAGCAGCTGAAAGGGAGACAGAACGTAAGTGCAATGCTCTATTTTCAGTATTGTACGTCAAAGGCTTGACATGTTTGTTTTGTTCGCACTGATGAAAAACACGAGTTTGCCAGCACCAGAGAAGTTAGGTCCCTCTAGCCACAGCAACAGGTACAGCAGGGGGAATTGCTACTTGTTTTGGGAAGAGCAGTGACTTACAGCCAATTCAAGTCTTCTATTTGGGACTCATACTAGTGGGAATTGGGGCAGCAGACTGCACTAGACGGACACTTATCCCCCAGGACCTGGACGGAGTAGATTCAGAGAACAGATGGGGATAGATATTTAGGCTGTTTCCATTCACCATTATTTCTTTTTCCTTTTCTCCACCTGGTTGTATTGGGGGCTGTACAACATGGTAAACAGGAGCAGAATGGGAATCAGCAAATACGGCGCATAGAAGAATAACAGAGTAAGGCGTTCCTGCTGTGTCTCGGGACCCTGATGCTTGGACGCTGAGAAATCGTGAAACAGGATGTGTGCAAGGATAGGAAATACAGTTGTAGCTACGTGAGTGGAGTAGATAATTGCTGGAGTCCGTATCCATTTGCAGCCACCTGTATTCGAGGCAGAAAAGTATAACATTTGTTTGAAATAAGAGGGCAGCATTCAATAGCCTTAGGATAAATATATTAAAGAGGGTGAACGCATATTCAGATCTAAGCTGCTATGAGAGAGTTAGGTATTAGCAGAAAATTAACCCAGACTGCACAAGCCTCAATTACAAGTAGTATATGGAAGCAGGAAAACTAATCTGTTTTTATTAGGTGGAAGAGTGGCAACACAAGGCGTGCCAACTGGAAGCTTAGAAAGACAGGATGCAAATAGGATTCCTGGGACCTCTCTTCAAAGCAAGCTGATCAAATATTTTCATCTTCAAAAAAATAGACACACAGACTTAATTCAAGAATTATATTCTTAGGTCGACCACCAGGTATCGTGTAGATGCCGAGTATCATTATACCCATTTTACAGAGGTTAAGTGATTCGTCCAAGGTCATATAAGAAGTCTGTGGCAGAACCTGGAATAAACGCCCCACGTCCTAACAGGGCTGTTCTCTCCCCACTGGGCCCTATTACCTAGAAACCTAGGATTTTTGGTTTAAGATAAAGGTTTCTGTTGTGGGAATGAAGTGTATTGTGCCAGGCTTGACAAGCATCAGCGAAAGAATAATTTTTCCTGTTTTTATTTTCATTATTTTCCTACAGGCTCTATTCTACACTCCTTACGGAGGCAAAATTCCTAGTGAAAAAACAGGAATCCCCCCCCCCACTTGATGTATTTGTAATGGCTTAAGTGTACAGAACAATCTTTCTGTACCACCTAAAATGACTATCTGCAAGACGACCGCATGCCCAATATTGTTCTTTCATTCCTTCTGTACCCACCTTTTAAGAATGCATAGGCTGCAAAGGGAAAGAAAGGCAGTTGTAAGGCGGCTTCACAACATATAAACGACTTAAACCATGGAGGGGGCTCCAGCATCATGGGATCTTTGAAGGTCACCGCATACCATTTTAACAACTCCGCCAGCTTAAGGAAAAAACCACAACAGATTAACACACTTAACGTTAGCTGCACTGAGAAACAAGGCACTTTACATGACCCATTAGATGGAGCCATCGTTACAGCGAGAGAAACCTTTTAGAAGATACGGTCTCATCTTGATACGCAAGGCTTCAGCTGTGCAACTATTAGAGTTAATGGGAATTACGCTGCGAAAGTCTCTCAAAGTGGTGAACGCGCTCCGTAAGCATACATTCCATTCTGCAGCGTTTTGTTCCCCACGTTCTCAGGGTTATCACAACCTTACATAGAACCTGCTGCTTCAGACGTGAATGGCCACAGACCACCCTGATCCCTTTTCCACGTAGGGCGCAAGCCAGGTTTCGTGGAGAGAGGAAATATTCTTGAATTCCACTCTTCTTGGCCCTGCCACTGGAAGGACAGGTGGGGCCAGATTTACAAAGGTATTTAGGCACTCCAAGAGGCAGACAGGTGCCTAGTGGAATTCACAAAAGTGAATATGTTTGTACAGCGCCTAGCTCAGCGTCCTAGTCCACCGCTGGGTTCCTAGGCACTATGATAATACTATAGTTCAACGCCTAATTCACGTAGGTGCTTTTCGAATTCCCACTAGGCCCCTATCTGCATCTTTAGACATCTAAATACCTTTATACTGCTGGCCCATGGGATTTAAATAGTCCTATAAAGAGGTTTTTGTCCCAGCTAAATGTTAAATGAGTCTGAATGACAGAAAAATCAATTTAAATGTGGTTTTGTTAGGAGGCCTTTGGTTGAAAGTCCATTGAGATTTGCAAGTTCATTTTTAATTTAAATATGGCTTCTAAAATAGAAGAAGCCTCCTGATTGACCAAGAGAAGGCAGAAATCAAATCGATTATATTTATAGTTTTCTATCATACTGATCAAACCCCGGTGACAAAAAAATGAATTTTTATAAATAACTCGTATTGTACCTTGATTGGTCATATTTTGGGAACCAGTTATCTCTGCCTCTTTCACATCCATGGTGGGGTTTAGCACAGGAAACAAATGTACTGAACCATGAGGCCAGTGTTACAGACGTCACTCAATGAACAACAGGACTTTGCTCTGAACTCTTCCAGTCTCTCTCTCAGACTGGATTAACTTTTTAAAGACAAGAAGTAACACCGAGTGCTTTCCATATGCAGAAGAAATCTACTGTCAACCAGATATTCGGGTATTTCTAGGCTGGTTAGGTTAGACTCCGGCAATAGCTTAGCATGCTAGGAAGATAAAAGTAGGAGAGATTTTAGCAAGGAGGTTTCTTGCTCTTATCGGACTCGTTTAGATTGAATTGGCAGAGGAAGCTTGCACGGATTTCATTTGATTCTTTGAACCATTTTGGAAGCCAGTTGATTTGTGCCCTCGTGAACTAATCGAAGTGAAATTTAGCCTAGTGACCCCAAACTAATGAGCTTTGGCACAGGATATACGATCTATATTTATACTTAATACTACATAAAAGCTAAGTGGTATTGTAAAAAACGGACTGTAAATTACTAGCCATCTAGTGAACAATGACTCATTATTAACACTGCAGAACAAGAGCGGAGCCTTTTCTCAAAGATGCAGCAAGATCAAGTTTTTCAAGCTAAAGGCTGGGCACAAAGTCATTGCTATTCAAACCCTTCTATCGGACAGTCCCTACAGATTTTGCACAAGCTGCAAACACGCACAAATCACAATGTCACCGAGAGATTCCTGGCAGCTACTTACACTCTGAGGGTAGATGCCAGCTCCATGCACAAGCGGTTGCAGGTCTATGATTAAAGTGATGGGAATATGAGTGAGGAAGTACAGGGCAAAAACCCACTCCAGTAAGCCTGTAACAGCAGCCATACCTTCCCTGGTGCAGTGCAGAGGCAGCAGGAAGTCAGCTTGTAAGCAACAGACAGCAACATGCCATCTTTCTCCTGCTCCCATTGGCTGCACTCTCAGTAGGCTGGGTTTCCTGCTGGGACAACTCACAATTTAAAGGGCTACTCGTTTTGCTGAAGTCAACCCATGTGCAGTGCTTTCCCTTAAGGAAGATTCCATACAACTGAAGAGGAGGAGAACGTACTATATTTGCGCTACAATCTATTTTAAAGACTTCAAAACATTTTCATAGCTTGGTTAGGAAAAAAAAAAGTATTGGCTCGATCTTTAGTACTCAGCTCAACAAATTAAGCCATCAACACAGCACAGGATTTAGCAGGTTGCCTTTGAAGCCGGTAGAAGGTCAGAAATCCTCTGTGCGCACATGCACACTATTATGGATTCCCAAAGGAATCTAAGGGACTCAGGAGAATAAGTGCCATTGACTTTCAACGGGACCTGTGCCGTTAAGTAGCTTAGGGGTGAGCTTTTCAAAAGTACCCAATAGGTAAGAATTTCTGGTTAGCAGAAGAATCACAAGTTGTTTTGAGAAGATGCTCATATATACTCCTGCTCACGTTCATTTCTTTACTTTTACCAGACCCCGTGCTGAGTCCAATCACTAACAAACCTTACGCTTTCTGGTTGTCCCACTAGTTAACTTCCTCCTGGATACGAATTTTCAGCAGGCTGAAGGGTTTGGGTAAGATCCCAGGAGTAAGAGGGGAAAATGTGTCTAAATGTCCTAAGAGTACTCCACTTGTGAGGTAACTCCCTTTTCTTCATATGTCATTATACAATGCCTGCATCTGTAATTTTCACTCCATGCATCTGAAGAAGTGGGGTTTTTACCCACGAAAGCTTACGCCGAAATAAATGTTAGTCTTTAAGGTGCCGCCGGACTCCTCATTGTTTTTGTGGATACAGACTAACATGGCTACCCCCGCTACTTAATGAAGCAGGAGTTTCTGCATTAGTACCAATGCACTTCCCAGTAGCAGGTTGTGTTCCTGTCTCAAACATAAGTAGCTTTCTTTAAAAACTATTAATAAGGTTTACTTCAAATCACTGAGCCAGTCCTATTCCCTTCCTGAACTGGAAGTTGACTATGGTTAAAGATCCAGTTTATGTATCAGGTTATTATTTGTGCAGTGGCTGTACACATCTTTCCTTAATACAGATAGTAAACAAAGCTTTCAAGAATAGAAATACTACCTGATTGACACCAGTGCCAGGCACAGCTGACAGCAAAGATCTATCTTATAAAAATAGGTAATTGAATAATAGGTGCATTTCAAAGATCTCAAGATATTCTAGTACTACAAGAAATATAAAGTGTAAGGGAATAAGACCGGGAAAGTTGCTACACAATGGATTGAACATATGATTTTAATATTTATTGAAAATTCAAATCCTGTTAGCAGTTCAAAGGGGATACTAGATTTGGATACACTTGCCTTATGCTCTGGAGGTGTTGTCTACCTGAAGTTGTGCCAACATTTCTATTGGAAAGCCCTTAACTTTTAGGGAGTCTAAGTTTTAAACCTTTTCTCCCTGTTCAAATGCTACATTGGACCACATCTTCTTCTGCTGGTATGTCTTCATGGAACCACACTGATTTACACCAAGTAAGGATCAGCTCATATAGGTGAAATACTGGCTCCAGTGAGGTCAGTAGGACCAAGATTTCATTCTAGTGCTGTCTGAGTTATAATCAATACTAACCTAATTGTAACTTAATACCAAGTATCCTGTATAGTCTCCCTCACACGACATTCTTTAATGTAAGGGACTGTGTCCTCCTGTGTGTGGAGAGAGAGGTTCAAACCTTGTCGGGGGCACTGAAAACCAAGCAATAAGCATTATATGTCCATTTTAGCCTCTGCTTGTGTCTTCCAGCTGCTGTCTCAGTTTGGGAAGATCCCAGCCCATCTCCATCTCAGAAGACTGAATTCTTTAATGGCAGTGGAGATTTAAATGCCGTCAAACTCAAACATTCAAATTAAGCCGAGTTGTTGATGCAAATAAAGAAAGCGCATTCATTACATAAGAACAGCCATACTGGGTCAGACTAATGGTCCATCTAGCCCAGTATCCTGTCTTCCAACAGTGGTCAATGCCAGGTGCTTCAGAGCAGTGGTCCCCAACCTTTTTCGTCTGGCGGGCACCAGACAACGAGCCACGGAGGACCATGGCAGCAGACAAGCAGCCGCCAAAATGCCGCTGACAAATGGCAACGTCAATAGGCGTCACCGCCGAAATGCCGCCGAGAATTCAGCGGCATTTTGGCGGTGGTGCCTCTGGATGACGCTGCTTCTCGGTGGCATTTTGGCGGATGCTCATCCGGTGGCCAGCATGCGGGCACACTTATACGCCGTGGTGGGTGCCATGGTGCCCGTGGGCACTGCGTTGGGGACCCCTGCTTCAGGGGGAATAAACAGAACAGGATAATTATTGAGTGATCCATCCTGTCATCCACTCCCAGTTTCTGACAATTAGAGGCTTAGGACACCCAGAGCATGGGATTGCAGCCATCATCATCTTGGCTAATAGCCATTGATAGACTTATCCTCCATGAACTTACCCAATTCTTTTTTGAAACTAGTTAGTTTTGGCTTTCATAAAATCCCCTGGCAACAAGTTCCACAGGTTGATTGTGCATTGTGTGAAGAAATCGACTCCTACGCAGTTGATCTTGTGTCTTCAATGCTGTTCTCTGCCACAGACTTGCCTTCAACCAAAGTATCTGCTGCTTGTATGTGTATTGTGAGCAAAGTGCTTGCAATATTTACGTCCATTTTTGCATCTTTTCCTGCCCTTGTCTTCTCCCTTCTTGCCCCCAAGAAACCACCCCATGCAGTATATACCTCTACCCCAATACAACGCTGTCCTTGGGAGCCAAAAAAAAATCTTACCGCGTTATAGGTGAAACCGCGTTATATCGAACTTGCTTTGATCCGCCGTAGTGCGCAGCCCCACCCCACCCTCCCGAGCGCTGCGTTACCATGTTCTATCCGAATTCGTGTTATATCGGGTCACGTTATATCGGGGTAGAGGTGTATTTGTCAAGTAGCATCTTTGTGGTAACTGAAAGCCAGTTGTTTTAAAATTATTTTTCCACACTTGCTAATTCTGCACCTATTATCAGTGCAAATCTAATAAAGGGGAAGCATGAGCTAAAGTCCAAGAGCTTATAGATCAGTAGTGACAACATTATTTAACCCCTTGTACAAGAGGAACTTAAACTGCTTAAAATGCAGCCCAGAAAATTCAAAACTGGTCAACAGATAAGCTAAATTTTAGCCTTATTGGATGCAAAGAGGGTGCAAAGAGGTATTTCAATAGGACTTCCCATTTTTAATTAGTAGTCAGAGTAAGATCTATGCAGAATAGCTAATTATATATTAATGCTCCTCATTTTAGTCCTAGAATTACTATCTTTGTCCCACAGACACAGCACCTGATGCTGCTCTCATTTAATTGTAATTTATGTACAGAACCAAGAAACTGAGGCTACAGAAAATGGTAAAGTCATCACACATTTTAAAACGCTTGCCCTTGTGTGTGCATACTCATTCCTCAGGGGGCCCATCCCACATTTGGGCCAATGCAGATATAGATATACAGATGATATAGGTATCAACACAATTTCGTTCCTTGTGTGTTTATTGAGAAGCCCTACAGAGGAAGCTCTGGCCGTTAGCTCCAACAGGCTTTGTACCGATGCACAATGTGGATATTACTATTCATAACATTATGAAGTAAACCCTTTACAACACTACGTATTTAAGGAGAGAGCAGTTCTAGCAGCAATCCATTTCATATCAGCATTTAAAATAACCAGACTCAGGAAAAATGGAAGCAGAATTGAGTGAGTAGCGCTGGCTAAACAAAAGTAGTACCAAATAAATTAACTGACACCAGTTTAGTGATCTCCATACATGAAACAGGAATGTGACACCACCACCAACTTGATGTTGAAATTTGGCTCATCATCATATGAAGAAATTGAGGCAGAGAGGTTACATGAATTGCCTGAAGTCACTGAGGTAACCCGTGTCAGAGCTGGGAACAGAACCCAGACGTTCTGACTCCCAGTCTTGCATTCAAGCCATGACACCATCCTTCCCCATCTATAAGACTATTCTATTTCTTATGGGTTCTAGCAGCTGTAACTATGTGAGTTACTTGCTTGATTCTTTGAAAGGTTCATAACCATGAAATGTGTGAAATGCGTTCCATTCTGGTTTCTAATGCAACACTGCTGAATACTGGGCTACTTACATTAGTTGTTTAGAAAATCCATTAACGCTTTTGCTTTGAAAGAAAGAATTACGTGGATTTTGCAAACAAAGAAAAAAGAAAGTAGAACCAACCATCCTTGAGTGGGTATCTTTAATCCCGCCCATCTAAGTGTAAACCAAATTTCTTATTTATCTTCTGTTAACCTGTGGTTCTCAGCTTCATCCATGAGCTAACGTTGCAATAAGGTTCAGAAAATAATTAGAGTAACTGGATGCTTCATAAAAAGTAAATATATCAACTAAACCGCCCCCACCAAATCAAGATGCTTTGAAGTCTTCTCACTTTAAACTATTTCCGACAGCATTAAATTAAGTTTAGAATAACTGAAAAGCTAGCAAACTTTTTGGGGGAGGCGGAATGAGTCACGAAATGAAAAGATAACACCACTTCTTTTTCAAATGTCACATTTAATGTTTTCACCACTGTACTTCAAATCTACATTTTACAAAGTGACCAGCAAGTGTGCCACATTAACTGTCCAACCTCTGAGATTTTACCTTTCATACCAGTGTCTTCTTGGGCTCTTTTAATTAAACACGTTTCTCATTCAAGTGAATTGAAATGTTTCAGTTGGTTTTATTCTCAAGAGCCTCATAAAAAACAAAGATATTGCACCATCTTTGTTTAGTAATTCAATGTTTGTTTCTTTCACAGCAAATAATTACTTCATTGAAGTTAAAACTTCCAAACATAACTTACTAATAATCTCCAATTTCAGCTCAGA